TTTGTTTTTTTTTTTTGGTACTGGGAATCTAACTCGGGGCCTTGTGCATTCAAGGCAGGTGCCAGAACCACTAAGCTAAATCCCCCGGCCCTATAGATATAGTTTTCCCAGTCCCAGGAATCAAACTCAGGTCTTTATGCTTGCCAGGCACGCATGGTGGCACTGAGCTGGATCCTCGGCCCTTCTTTCTTTTATTTTTAAGAGAGGGTCTTATTTACCCATTAAATTGCCCAGGCTGGCTTTGATCTTGTGAGCAACCTGCCTCAGCCTCCCAGAGCACTTGAATTACAGGTATAGGCCATCATGCCCTGCTCCATTTGATTTTTTTCAGGTACAGCCTTTCCTTGTTACACAGCTAGACCCAAAGTCCTGCATCCAAGTGATCAACATGCCTCAGCTTCCAAAGAATCTGGAATTGCAGCAGCCCCTCATACTGTGGAGTGGTTTTATCTCTGGAACAGAGTGAAAATACGGGATAATTCCTGCCATAATTCAGAAACAGATCAATTCCTTTCCTGTTTCACACTCTCACCTATGACTACCACATATTAATAAAACTAAACCTGTGTTTGTGAAGTAAATCAGTGACTGAATCCTTGAGTTTTCCTTTCTTCTTTTTGGGGGGGGGTGGAGATGGGGGGTCTCACTTTTTAATGTAGGCTGGCCTGGAGGCCAGTATGTGCCCAGGTTGGCCTCAAACTCATGGCTATCCTTCTGTCTCAGCCTCTTGAGTGCTGGGATTATAGGAGTTGTGTCACCACACACAGCCTTACTCTCCTATAAACTTCTCTAGCCCTGACTAGAAATTTACTAAAACCAATCAATGTGGACAGAGAAAAACCAAAGATTAGCTGGGTGGAGAGGGAGAAACCCAATCAGGGGTTCATAGAGTGAAGGGAAGGAAAGAGCTAGGAATGTAAGGTGTAGCTAACAGGGGGGATAAAGGCAGGAGAGGAGCCCAGGAGATGCTCAGTCCTGGAGCTTCCAGTTGCTGCCTGGTCCTGCCAGGATCCTGGAGCCCCATCACCTGAGTCTGCACCTGGTGAGTCACTGCCCTCCATAAGGACGCCCCTCCATCCCACCTTTGGCCAGTGACTATGAGGTCTCACTTTATAGTTCAGAATGGCCTTGAAATCACTTTGTAGCCCAGACTGGCCTCAAACTTGGAGTGGTCCTTCTGCTTCAGCTTCCATAGTGCTGGGATTACAGGCGTGTGCAACCACACCCACCTTTGTCATTTCATAACTTTTAAAAGATTATATTTTTCTTTAAATGAAAGCCATCTCTTCAAAGCTCTGTGGAGTCACCCATGTGGTCTCCTGCATTCCTTGTGATGCTGAAGCAGGGGAATGGGAGGATCCAGACAACCCTGGATTAAACTGAACTAAATAGTAGGACGTTTTGTACTGAGGATTGCACAGTGACTTCCCCCTGTGCTACCTCTTCCACCATTTTTATTTTAGTTTGTGTTTTGAGACAGGGCCTCCCTAAGTCATCTCAGATGGACTGCCACTTGGAAGTCTCCTGATTTAGCTTGACAAAATGCTGGGATTAAAGGAGTGGATCTCCAAGCCTAGCCCGATTTTATTTTATTATTCATTTACTTTTAAATTTATTGACATAGATTCTTACTGTGCAGTTTAGGCTGGCCTTGAATACACTATGCAGCCCTGGATGGCCTAGAACCCCTGCCTCAGTTTTCCCGGTGCTGGCATTACAGGCTGCCCCACCACCCAAAGTTTCTGTTATAGCATTTTAACAAAAGCCCTGGGGATGTTGCTCCATGGTAGAGCTCTTGACTAGAATGCCAGGGGGATGTGAACCTATTATTTGAACTCATTAGAGTGAATGGAGAAGAGAAGAAGTTTTTTTACTCTCAGTACTGAGGACTGAAGGCAGGGGTGTGATATGTCAGAGTTAACTGTCCTGATACTCTGATTTGCTGTTTTGGGACAGGGTCTCCTAACTTAGCTAGGCTGACTTTGAACTCCTCATCTTTTGTCAGCCTCCCAAAGGCTGGCATTTGAGGTTCATAACCCCTCATCCAGCTAGAAGTTTCTTTTCTCTCTCTCTCCCTTTCCCCTTCCTTCATTTTTCCTTCCCTTCCTCTTCTTCTCTCCCTCCCTCCTTCACTCTCTCCTTCTCTTCCCTCCAGCAAAGAATTACCTTGCCTGCAATTTTAAGGCAAGATCTTGCTAAGTCACTAAATTGTCCAGTTTGGCCTTGAATTTGATTTTTGGGATTCTCTGGCCTCAGCCTCCCAGAGTCCTAGGCTTACAGGCATTTGCATCAAAGTTTATTTTTTCAAAATTGAAATATTCAGATTGTATTTCTTAAATGCTAGTTCATGGATATTCGTTTGTGAATTTAGCTAGGGCCCCTGCCTCTCATGGGCTTTCCTCTGAGTTCAGTCCACACCAACACAAGAATTTAAAACAAACCCTGGCCAGCTGGGGCATGACTGTGATCCCAGCACTTAAGAGGCTGAGGCAATAGGATTACTGAGTTCAAGGGTAGACTGGGTGACATAGTGAGTTCAAGGCCATCCTGAGACTATATCAAGACCCTGTTTCAAAAAAACAAAACAATTAAGAAGGGAGCTTTGAAACATTGTGTGTAGCCAGGTATGTTTACCCAAGTCTGAAATATCACCTCCTCTAGAGGCCGAGGTAGGAGAATTTAAAATCCAAGGCCAACTTGGACAACTTAGTGAGATTTTGTCTCAAACTTTTAAAATGCCAAAAACAAAAAACATGCTGAAATTGTTACTCTGAGCAAAAGCCACCTTCAACCCATGTACCCCACACCAAATTTATTTATTTATTTATTTATTATTTTTGCAGTGCCAGGGATGAAACTCAGGACCTTGTGCTTCAGAGGCAGGGGTGGCGCCACTGAGCTAAATACCCAGCCCCACATACCAAGTTTTAAAAAGCAACTATATACTATTTTACACCAGGATTTTATTTGGGGGGGGGGGAGGTGATTCTTTTTTCTTTTTCTTTTTTTTTGTTTTGATACCAGGGATCGAACTCAGGTCCCTGCACTTGCAGAGCAGGCGGCGGAACCACTGAGCTAAATCCCTGACCCTTTGGGGTTTTTTTTGTTTGTGGTTTTTGTTGTTTTTGATTTTTTTTTTTTTAAAGCAGGGTCTCACAATGTAGCTCAGGCTGGCTTTGAACTCACTACATAACCCAGGTTGGCGTCAGACTTGCAGTGATCCTCCTGCCTTAGCTCTTGGAGTGCTGGGATTTCAGGCTTTTACCACACCTGGATATTTTCATGGGATTTGTTTCTTGTGGTGCTGAGCTTGAAATCAGAGCCTTTGAATTGTCCTACCTCCCCAGACCTATTTTTTATTTCATTAGAATTCACATCAAGGCATTCTCGCTAAATCCCTAAATTGTACAGGCTGGGCATAAACTTGTAATTCTCTTGCCTCTGCCTCCCAGAATGCTGGGATTATATGTCCAAGTCTCTGCAGTAATTTAAAGGGGGAGACTTTCTTTTGATCTATTTTCTCCCCTGCACTCAATCACAAAGTGGTAGGTTGTCTTACATGGAAGAGTTTTAACAACCTACACCAGAGTTAGCATTTTCCATCTCTCACTTCAACGTGCTCTATACCAATGTTACGTTGCTTTTATAATGGCTTATTAAACTTCTTAAAATGAAAATAACAAAATTCATTTTACAAATTCTCCCCATTGACTCCTGGCTGGCCTCATGGGTTGAATGGAGGTGGAAAGGTGCTTGGGCCTTAAGACTCTCCCTTTGCTATTATTTTAGGGCCTTGGAGCAAAGATCAGAAACTTCCCAAATAAGAAGGGGCTGAGATTTCACAACAGTCAGCCCACTTCCCACAAGGACTGGAATTCAAAGGATTAGTGGCTTGAAGTGGATGAGGTGGTGGTGCCAACAGGGGCAGTGGTATGGCATTGGGGCTAAATAGGACAGAGAAATTGGGAACTGAGAAAGCTCCCTCCATAGCTAAACAAAGGACCTTCCCCCTGAGTTGGTCTTCATGGGTCAGAAGGGGGCTCATGAGCTTGGCCTGACTGGATGCCCCTCCCTGGATGTGACCCCACATTCTTCTCCTTGCAGGTTTTTCGGGATGACTACACAGAGCCCACTGACTCTGTATGAGCTGACCAAGCAGAGGCTGCTGAACAGTGAGACCACAGCCAGCACTACTCTGCATGGCCTGCCCTCCATGATCTTCCATGAAATTTTCATGGAGGCCTTCATGAGGGAACACAATGAGGTCCTAAAAGTGATGGTACAGGCCTGGCCTTTCCTCTGCCTCCCTTTGAGGACCCTGATGACTCTGAGGAAACCAAAGACCCCACACCCTCAGTTTGGAGAAATCACACTGCAACAGAGAAACCTATGGACCTTGTAAGCCCTACTGGATGGATTTGACATTCAGCTGTCCCAGAAGGTTCACCACAGGTGAGGGGGATACACGATACTGGAGAGAGGGTTCTGGGAGGCCAGGAGAGAGAGAGTTGGTAATAAGGAGTGTGGGGGACTGAAGCTTGGAGCAGCTGCTCATGTTGAGGAAGATCACAGAGGTCTTGGTTTTGCTGAAAGCCACCTGGGAAGGGATTTCCTGATGAGAAAGGTGGATGTGAGGATGCAGTGAAATCAGGAGGAACCTGCATCTGCCTCCTCTCGCAGGAACTAGAAGTTGAATCAAGCTGCATAGAAAGGTGAGAAGGGTAGAAAAGGAAGGCAGGAAAAGTAGGAGTTCAGCTGATGCCAAGAAAGTGGAAGAGAAGCACAGGTAAGAAATTGGTTCTTTATCTTAATTCTCAGACCGCTTCCTGTTTCACTCACAGCAGGTGGAGACTGCAGGTGCTGGATTGGAGGGATGTACACCGGGACTTCTGGACTGTAGGGCCCAGAGCCATGAGTTCTGCCCATTCAGAAGATGCCAGCAATAAGGAGACAGGCAAGCCTGGGTTGAGGAAGAAGAAGCCGACCTTGAGAATATTCACACACCTTTGTTTTCAAGCCTGGAGTTCGTCTTGGGCCACCCATAATGAATTAGAATTTTGCCTCTTGACTTGGGCCAGGAAGAGAAAAGCTTCAGTACACCTGTGCTGTGAGAAGGTGATGATCAAGTCAAATGATGTCTCTACAATTCTGAAGCTCCTTCGTGCTGTGCAACTGGACTCTATCCAGGAGCTGGACGTGTTCAGTGTATGGGGTTGGAAATGCATGAAAGCATTTCTTCCTCAGCTCAAGAAGATGACGAACCTTCGCACATTTCACTTCAGCAGCCTGAGCCCAGAAGTGTTTACTTTGCCCTTGGAAAATAAGTGGCTTTCCTGCATCTATGCTTTTCACTTAGGAGAGCTGCAAAATCTCCGGGAGCTTCATATACATGATGTCCTTTTCCTACATGGAACTCTGCATAAGATTTTCAGGTGAGTGTATGTTGAGCTCACCTGCACATTCCTGGGAACGGTGAATATGAAGAGGGCATCTGTGTGCCAAGCCACTGGCAATGTGGTGACACTAGGAAGTGGGAAAGACAACGCTGTTTGAACCATGGCTAGGTCTCCCATAACCACCCACATGAAGGCACACCTAATCTGGGACAGGAGGTCTGCAACCCGCCCCATGACCAGAAAGTTAGCAGTGGTCGGGGGGACAAAGTGAGGGCAGCTGTGATTTCTTCCTTAGGAAGCACATCTAGGTTAGGGTGTTGGGGAGAGGGAAGAGAGAGCATTAAAGTAGGGGCAGGCCTCACACCTGCACATTGGAACTGTGATTCTGCTTAGCTTCTGAGATTGGGAGCAAGCCATTCTCTGTCTCACCCTTTTGGAAAGGCTGCTGGGTGCGTGTCTTACTTTCTCATTGCTAAGATGAAATATCTGTTGTGGCTTGTGTTTCAAAGTCCCTCCAAAGCCTCACACATTCTTTTTCAGAGGTGGCTGAATGTGGAATGTCTGATGCTAGAATTAAGGGTGGGTGAATACTAAACTACAAGTGAGCGATTGGTTTTGGCACCGCCCGGTAGTCTGGATGGGATAAAGGGGGCAGAAAATGCTGTTAAGGGCCCTTTTTGCTTTGCTACCATCTGGAGGTCATAAACTGTTTCTCCTCTACCATGCCATGCTGGCTTTGAACCTCTACAAACTGTAATCCCAATAAACCTTTCCCCCTTTAAGTTTGGGTGTCAGTTATTTTGTCTTAGCAATGAGAGAAAAATAACTAACACAGTACCCAATACCTAAAAGTGAAAGAAGAAAAGGTTTATTTTAGCTCACAATTTATACACACGATTTATACATAGTCCATAAAAAAACAGCTGGCTCCAATGCACCACAGACAAGAAATAGTCCATTGCAGGGTAGGCAGAATGCAGCAAGCCTGCCTTGCTTCTTTCCTTTTATATTCCATACAGGCAACAAGCCCATTGCTTATTGCCATTCATCCAAAGGGTGGCCCTTCTCTCTTTAGTAATTCCACTACCTACAGCTGTGCTAAACCAATCATTGGACTGATCCAACTACCATACCCATGGTCTAGCCACTTGCCCAAATCCCAACTGCTGAGTGCATAAGGCTTTGGGGGAAGCCTAGATAGAAGCCATAACAGTCCCCCAGGCAGGGCAATGAGCACATGGGATGTGCGGGAGTCTGGAGCTCAGGGTGAGGAGCAGAAGTTTAGGGCTGAGAACAGGGACACAGGCTTTGCTGAGGACACAGGGCCAACTCCAGGCCAAGTGGCCAGTCTTGCCTGGGTTCATTCTCCTGCATGTCACCCCTTGGCCTCATCTGGACAGAGCTGTGGTTTTCTGCTTGGCAGTAAGCATAAGGGGCTGTACAGAATGGAGACTGAGCCAATCAGACAAGTGATGGTGACTTTAATGATCAGTGCCTTCAACACACAGCATTGAGGGATGATCATCAATGGTGAAGGCAGCCTTGGGGTTAAACTGTCTCTCCTACCTTCATGTCATTTCCTAATGTACCCCATTCATCACCCCAATTCATACCAATTAAGTTTTCTCTCTCTCTCTAGGAACCAGACCTCCTTGGAGGCCCTCTCCTTCAGTTCAAGTCCACTGAAGGAATCTGACCTAAAGCATCTGGCCCACTGTCCAAGCATGAGCCAGCTGAAGTCCCTGAGTCTGAGGAAGTTCTCAATGAAATCATTCAACCCAGAGACCCTCCAGGCTCTGCTAGACAAACTGGCCAGCACCCTGGAGACCCTGGTCCTAGAGCACTGTGACATCACAGACGCCCAGCTGCTTGCTATCTTGCCTCCCCTGAGCTGCTGCTCCCAGCTCAAGACCTTCAGTTGCTATGGGAACCACATATCCCTGGGCATCCTTCAGGTCCTGTTGTATGTGTGTGGGGGACTGAGCCAGTTAACCCATGGGCTGTATCCTGCCCCCTTGGAGAGCTATAAGTCCAAGATTCCAGCAGAGTTTGTGCACCCTGAGAAATTTCTCCGAGTCTGTGCTAAATTGGCACGGGTACTGAAGGATATAAGGCCATCTCTTAGGGTCCAGATCTGTACCTACTCCTGTGATTGGTGTATGAAATGCCAACTGTTTAGACTGGAGCCCAGTGGAAACTGGGAAATCACAGAGCAGTATTGCTATGGAAGCAGGATTAGATGTGACAGTTGTATGAATCCCCTATGTTGATGACTGTATTTTTTCTTAGTAGATGTCCCTTCAAAGCTTACTGTGATCACAGGTGGGGCTTTTTGGAGGTGACTGAATCAGGGGAGCCTGATACTCATCAGTGGATTGGCTCAGAGTCTGTAGCTCATTGTGATGATTGGAAGTGAAGCCAGGTTAGAGGAGGTAGATCACTGAGGGTGTGGCCTAGAAGGCTCTGTCTCTCTTCCTTCTGTTAATGTCTCTCTGCTTTCCAGAGCCAGGCATGAGCTGTTTCTCCTCTGCCATGCACTGCTGCCATGCCACCCTATGACCTGAACTGTATGACAAAATAAACGTTTCCTCTTTGAAACTGTGAGCATTGATTATTGTACACAAGTGACAAGGGAAGTAATGCAGACATGCGCATGTCTGAAGTTAGTCCTGCATAGATGATTGTTAAGAAATGGTCATAAAGGGAACCTTCCCAGGTATAGTAGGGCACACCCATAATCCCAGTACTTTGGAAGCTAAGGCAGGAGGCTCACCTTGAGTTTGGCACCAGCTTGGGCTATGTAGTGAGACTCTATTTCAAAATTAAATAAATAGACTAACAAAGAGAACCTCAATGTAAGCTCTTTCATGATGATCTAATGACTTGATTTTCTAGTATATATGTGTATATATATGTATATATACATTTATTATTTTATTTCTGTTAGTATGCTTTCCATGCATAATAATTATATTGATCTTGAATAGAATATCTTCCTTTTCTTCCTTTTTCTCTTTTTGATAATGTGGGAGAGTGAACTCAGGGTCTTCACCCTGAGCTAACACTCCAACTCTTTTTACTTTTTCATATTTTTAAAATATTTCATTTTACATGTTTGCATTACTTTCATCATATTTACCATGGGGCATTGGTGCATTTACATAATTCATCTTGCTTGTTTTTATGTCCTTTTCCTTCCACTTCCATCTCTTGGTCCTCTTCCATTTGCAGGTTTCTTTTTGGAGACAGGGTCTCACTAAGTAGCTAAGTGGTACAGGGTAGGCTCAAGCCTGCAATCCTCCTGTCTTATCCTCCCAGAGTGCTGGGATTACAGCCATGCACCACCTCACCCATCCTGGTTTTTCACTTTGATCTCAGCTATTTCCAGTGGTCAGAAAAAAAAGAGGTGTTGGATTGTCCCAAGTCCTTGCAGAGAGGCTGTGGGATCTCCAGGCACCAAAATAACATGCTACTCTTCAGATCTTTCCTTCCTTTTTCAGGCCTGGGATGGAAACTGGGGCCTCACACATGCTAGGCTAGTGGTCAACCATTGAGCTACCCTCCCGGCCCCCTTCCCTCTTGTTTCCTTCTCTGGGGTCATCTTTTACCTCCCTGCTCATTTGTGTGGCTGTTTCCAGAATGGTCAAGTCCACAGACCCCAGGTTCATTCACTTGGGGTTGCACCTGTGATGACCCTGGGCTCTTATAGCTTGATGATATCCCATGGTCAGGACAGCAGAGTTGAGTTATCCATTCATCTACAAGGACAGCTGATCAATTCCAAACACTGGCAGTGATGAAAAGAGTGGCTGGGAACATCTGGATGGAGATCTCCTCACTTGGATAAACACCTAAGAGTTCCATTACTGGGTCATGTGCTAGGGATACATGTAGTCATTTTCCCCATGACAGTCTCACCTATCATATTTTCCCCAGAAAGAGCAGAGAAACTTTCTATTTCCCTGTGCCCCACAGCTAAGCATGGTGCCTGGGAAGTGGCAGCAACTGCTGACTGACCACAGGTGACTTGGAAATCTCCAGCACCAAGTTGGAGCCACTAAGAGGCAAGTCTGGATAAGTGAACATTAGCAGGATAAAAATGATGTGAATAAAGATGTAGAAAAAGTAATGCTCATGATGCTGTGGACACTACATGAGTGTCATGAACTCCAGCATTCACGAGGTGGACACTCTTGATTTGCTTTTCATACATTCTCCCGCAAGTCTTGGACAATAGTCCAAGTATAAACAGTCTTGTAATCCAAACGAAGCCAACATCTCCCCTGCACCCCAGGGTGCTCTCCTAGGCTTAGCCTAGGCTGCCTTCCAGATTGCTGTGACTTCCCATGAATTTATGAATAATGAGGCCTTTGGTTGCTTTTTCCCTTCTAGAGATGATATCTTGGGTTACCAATCATGTTACTTCTTTTCCCCTTAAGCATTGGTCTTCAAAGTTTTGTTCTGGCTGGGTATGGTGGAGCATGCCTGTAGTGTTGGCACTTTGGAGGCTGAGGTAGAGGGATTGCCATGAGTTTGAATTACATAGCAAAAAATCAAATATATAAATAAAATTTATAAAATTAAGTAAATAAATGAATACAAAATAGCAAAAAGAATAAAAGAAAAAGAAAACTAATAGGTTGGATGGTCCCAGAACTGCTGGGAGGTTGAGAGAGGAAGATCTCCTGTTTTTGCCCAGCCTAGGCAATGCAGAAACTTATTGAGACCCTGTCTCAAAGTTAAATCCACAGAAAGGACTGGGGATGTAACTCAGTACAAAGGCACTGTGTTAATCACCACCACCAGAAAAAGAAAATAACTGATAGATGATAGAAAGATAGATAAATACATGAAGATAGAGAGATAGAATTAAATAGAGAGATATGCAGCTTTTCACTTAGGTTGAGACCTCATTGGCAGAGCTGTATGACATGGGTCCATTCCAAATCCTTGTGTTTTCCAGGCTCTGACCCAGTTTCCAGCCCATGCCCCAGGTGAGCCTTCAATTCCAGGTCCAGTAGGTGTCTGGTTTCCACGACACCCTCTGCTTCATTACCTTCACTTACTGCCCTAACCTTCACTCACGTATTCACTCCACTAACTGCAAGCTCCTTGCTTTGTTTTTGTTGTTGTTTTGTTTGTCACACTCCCTATTTCATGCTGGCTTTGAATTAACTAGCCCATGTTTTCTTCAAACTCAGCAATCCTCCTGTCTCAGCTTCACAAGCACTGGGATTGCAGGTGTATGCCACCATGCCTGCAAGCTTCATCTTCTTATCCATTAATTTATTGGTACATTTTTAGGTGTACAATACAGTTACATTCATTGTTGAGAACTTGTACCTTTACATGATGTATCTTGGATCTTATTTTTTCCTCATTCCCTTCACCCCCTCCACCCTTCCCTATTTATAAAGACTTTGTTTCCATTTTTTTCCTTTTCTCATATTTTTTCTTTTCCCTTCTTTCCTTTCCCCTACCCCTCCCACTTCCCATACTCCTTTAGAACTTTCCTTCCTATTACACAGTATCAGTTATACATTTTGATCCTTATTTACACTTTTAGTTTTTCACACCACAGAAACTATTTGGTATTTACCCATGTGTGTCCTATTTATTTCACTTAAGAGTATGGCCTCAATGTGCATTCAGTTAGCTATAAATGTCTCTAGTTTCTCATTCTTTATGGGTGAGTAGTACTCCATTTTATTAAAAAAGCACATCTTCTTCATCCAGTCTCCAGTTGATGGGCAATTGGGCTGTTTTCAAATTTTAGCTATTACAAACTGTGCCGCTATGAACATGGGTGAGCATATATCACTGTGGTATGATTCTTTTCATTCTTTTGGGAAGATACCCAGCAGAGGAATAGCTGGGTCAAATGGGACTTCTAGTCCTACTTCTTTGAGGTATCTCTATATTGATTTCCACAGTGGTTGCACCAGTCCACACACCCACCAACAATGAAGAAGGATTTCTTTCTCCCCAGAACCCAACCAGCATTTGTTATTGGTGGATTTCTTGATAGCAGTCATTCTTTCTTGTGTGAGGTGGAATCTCAGTGTTGTTTTCATTTGCTTCTCTCAAATGACCAGTGATGGTGAGCATTTTTTCATCTGTTTATTTGCTGCTTTTACTTCTTTGTCTGAGAAATATCTGTTCATTTCAGTGCCCATTTTTTAATTGAGTCTTTATATTTGGGGGGTCTGATTTTTGTTAGTTCTTTATATATTCTAGATAGTAGACCTTTGTCTGAGGAACAGCTGGTAAAAATTTTTCCCACATTGTAGATTGTCTTTTAGTTCTGTTGGTGGTTTCTCTTGCAGTGCAGAAGGTTTTAAAAAAGATGAGATCCCAGTTGTTGATTTTTTTGTGCTAGTTCTTGTGGTAATGAGGATTTATTCATAAAGTTTTTTCCTATGTCAATATCTTTGAGAGGTCTACCTAACTTATCTTCCAACAAGTTTAGTGTTTCTGTTTTAATATTTAGATCTTTAATCCACTTCAATTTTAGTTTAGTGTATGGTGAAAGACAGGGGTCTAGTTTTAATCTTCAGCAAGTTGAAATCTAGTTTCTCCAATAACATTTATTAAAGAGGCTATCTTTCCTCCAGTGAGGATGGTTGGCTCCTTTGTCAAAGATGAGGTAGCTGAGTATGTGTAGAGTTGTTTCTGCATCTTCTAATCTATTCCATTAATCCTTGGGTCTGTTTGTTTGCCAGTACCATGCTGTTTTTATCACAGTGGCTTATAGTACAGTTTCAAGTTGGGGATTGTGATACCCCCTGCCATGTCTCTGTTGCCTAGAATTGCTTTTGCTATTCTTGGTCTCTTCTCATTCTAAATGAATTTTTGGATTGTTTTCTCTAGTTCTGTGAAATATACTATTGGGATTTCAATCAGGATTACAATGAATCTGTATAGCACTTTTGGCAGTATGGCCATTTTCACTATGTTGGTGCTTCCTATTTGTTTCTGGTACACATCTATAACGCCTAGAACTCAAGGCTGAGGCAGGAGGCTGGAAAGATCAAGGCCAGCCTTGTGTGGACTACAGAGCAAGAGCCTGTCTCAAAAGACAAAATAAAACAGAGGA